TGAAAATGCAGGGCTGGACTAGACAGCCTCTACTTAAAGAGCTTCTCTGGTTCCAAATCCTGATATCCTGATTCTTTTTTTTTTTTTTTTTTCCTGAGATGATGCTCTGTTGCCCAGGCTGGGGTGCAGTGGCACAGTCTTGGCTCATAGCAACTTCTGTCTCTCAGGTTCAAGCGATTCTCATGCCTTAGCCACCCGATTAGCTAGAATTACAGGTGTGTACCACCAGGCCCAACTAATTTTTGTATTTTTAGTAGAGACAGGGTTTCACCATGTTGGCCAGGCTGGTTCCAAACTTCTGGCCTCATGTAATCTCCCTGCCTCAGCCGCCCAAAGTGCTGGGATTACAGGTGTGAGCCACTGTGCCAAGCCCAAATCCAGATTCTTTAAATCACTTTCTCCTTTTTTCTCTTTTTTTTTTTTTTTTCCCCCAGGGGGCTGGACAGCAAGAAAAGGGAGATAAACTTGGCAAAACAGTTAAATACACATCCTCAGGCTTTATGTTAGAAATACAATTAGGAAATCCATTAGTGAGTGAAATGAGGCATATTACTCCCCCAACAGAAAAATGTTGCATATTTCTTATATTAAATCCACAGCATTGTGGCAAGCTCGCCAACAACACACTGTCTATATACTCCCATGAGCACCAAGGACAACCCCATCCCCACTCCACCAGCCAGCACAATTTGACTTCACCCACCTCACCTTTCACTGTATAAACAAACTTCTCAGCAGCTCCTTAGAGTGCCCTAAAAGATAGCAGTGGCCAATCCACCCCTTTCTAATAATGACTAATCCTTCCACAAAGTATTTAACCTTAAAGAGTTTTCCTGGCTGGGCGCCGTGGCTCATGCCAATAATCCCAGCACTTTGGGAGGCCAAGGTAGGCAGATTACCTGAGGTCAGGAGTTCAAGACCAGCCTGACCAACATCAAGAAACCCTGTCTCTCCTGAAAATACAAAATTAGACGGGCATGGTGGTACATGCCTGTAATCCCAGCTACTCAGGAAGCTAAGGCAGGGGAATCGCTTGAACCTGGGAGGCGGAGGTTTCGGTGAGCTGAGATCATGCCATTGCACTCCAGCCTGGGCAACAACAACGAAATTCCATCTCAAAAAAAAGAAAAGGAAAGAAAGTCTTCCTGGTTAATTTCAATGTGGCCAAAAATCAGATGACCTTCCCAAAAGTTAGTGTAACTAGGAGCATTCAGCTTCACCAAGGCCAGGGTATTTAACTGTAATTAAATTTGGATGAAATAAACAAATATTTTCATCCATTCATCCATCCATTCAGTGTCTGTGAAGCGCCAAATGCTATAGAAGATATAAAAAACTAATAGGATGGGGTGAGTGAGAAAAATAAAGGATGATGCCTAGGTTTCTGGCCTGAGTAACTACATAAATGGTAGAAGCTACCACAGGAGAAAAAAAATACAGGTGAATAAGCAGGTTTTGTCAGGGAACATAATGAATTTCATTCAGATTATTCCTTAATATGTTGACCTGGGGTACCTGAGGGATAATCAGTAGAAAGATCTAGCAGACAAATTAGAAATGAATGTGAAACCCTACAGAGCACTCCGAACTTGGGATGTAGCCCTGGAGTGATCAACCTGTAGGTGATGGTTGAAACCATGCAAAATAGATGAGCTCACCTAGGAAAGAGGGCAGGTTGAGAAGAAAGTCAAGGATAGAATCCTAGGGAGAACACTAACTTACAATGGGCATACTGAGAAAGGACAGCCTATGAAAGACTCCAAACAGTACATGGAAACCAGGGGCATGTGCAACATAGATGTCAAGATAGAGACAGAGAGACTCAAGGAAAACATGAGAAGTGGCAGATGCAGCAAAGGCCTAGAAAGACGAAGACTGAAAAAGGCCCACTTGATTTGGCCCCTAGGAGATCACTGGTGACCTAATCAAGAACATCTTCATCAGAGTCGTGGGGGCAGATTATATCAAATTTAACATGAATTAAAAGTGGGAGGCCGGGTGCTGTGGCTCACGCCTGTAATCCCAGCACTTTGGGAAGCTAAGGTGGGCGAATCACCTGAGGTCAGGAGTTCAAGATCAGCCTGGCCAACATGGTGAAACTACATCTCTACTAAAAATACAAAAATTAGCCAGGCATCGTGGCATGCACCTGTAGTCCCAGCTACTTGGAAGGCTGAGGCAGAAGAATCGCTTGAAGCAGGGAGGTGGAGGTTGCAGTGAGCCAAGGTTGCACCATTGCACTCCAGCCTGGGTGACAGAGCGAGACTGTTTCAAAAAAAAAAAAAAAAAAAAAAAGAACGAACGTGGACACAATAAAGGCAAAACTATTTAGGGAAGGAGATGAAAAAGAAGGGAGAAGAAAGACTGGATGATAACTACAGGGGGTTTTTGTCTTATTAGATATACCTTCTCAGTTAGCCCAATGATTTAAGGCATCCTAAATGGTCCAGATAGCTCAGAGACACCCCCGACCCCTTCCATGGAGAGTCTCTCTGAACGAACACTTCCACACTCTATGTTTAGCAAAAGCTAGGTAGAAGTTGGGGATACAGCTTAAAGAGTTTCCTGCTTCCTTAGCGTTCAGCAACAGCAAAGTCTCTCTACCCCATTATCCCCTGCCCTGAAATTGCTACCTCTTCTATAGGATTCATGAATGGAAAAAAATAGTCAACCTAGTGGCAATTACTTTGGCAGTAATTCCAAAGAGGTGACCTTCCCTAATACATCTGAGGCCTTAAAGTTCTCCATACATATGGTCCCAGTTTCTGCCATTTCCCTCCTTCCTACTCAGAAAGTAACCTGAGTATTTTCCCCTGAGTTTCAGGTTTAGGATTCCAGGGACATGTCTTTGCCTCCATCTAATGAAGCTTAACAGCCCCAATGAGGTGCACACTCAAGCCTAACAAGACCCTGTCTTCTGGCTCCTAATGTTCTCCATCTTTTATAACTTCCAGGAAGCCTCCTAATTTATAACCAAATCATGATTCCTCCTGTCCTCTTCATCATAAATTACCCAAACTTCCTGTAAGCTGTCAAGATTGGACTACGAGGTACAAGCAAAAATGAGAAGTAGGAACTTGCCCACTGTTTCTTTCCTTTGATTAGCCCCATGATCCTGCTGCCATCTATACCATTACATCATCTTCTAATTGTACAAAGTCACTCCACCAAGGTCTGTATATTCTAGTTCTACCCCAATCATACTTCCAGTTTTCTGCATGTGGGGCCCTAAATCAGGAATCAAGAAAGAATATGCTTAAACTAATTCACGTAAAGGGGAGTCCTTCAAATGTCCATACAGAGATTCCAAAAGTAATCACAAATTAGTCAAAGTTCAGGCAAAGGCATCAAACAGTTAACTTTATAAAATCCAGGCAAATCAGATGAGAACATGCCCTGAGAAAATAATTAATTAATTAATTTGGGCAACATTGTGGAATATGTTAAGAAAGATTATGATAAACACAGAGGTGACGAAGAAGAAACATCATAAATTAATGAGGGAATTTGATACTTCTCTCCAGACAGGGCTTCTGAACTCATTCCTAACATGCTTCTTTCTTAAGGAACTCAGTGACTTTACTCACACATCCATTGGGCACCTACATGTACTAGATTCCTTGAAAGGTACAAAGAGGGGGAAGAAGCATATGCCCTCAGGAGTTTATAGCTGGCTGGGAGCAGTGGCTCATGCCTGTTAGCCCAGCACTTTGGGAGGCCAAGGCAGGCAGATTACCTGGGGTCAGGAATTCAAGACTAGCCTGACCAATATGGACAAACCCCACCTCTACTAAAAATACAAAAATTAGCTGGGCAAGATGGCACATGCCTGTAATCCTAGCTGCTCGGGAGGCTGAGGCAGGAGAATTGCTTGAACCCGGGAAGCAGATGTTGTGGTAAGCCGAAATTACACCATTGCACTCCAGCCTAGGCAACAAGAGCGAGACTCTGCCTCAAAAAAAAAGAGTTTACATTCAACTGTATATTGTGTATAAGACACAAACACAAATAATTACAACATGAGGTACAAAGTGAAAAGTCATGGGAGATATACAGCCAAAGTGTCAAAGACAAAATAGGAAGATAAGCTGGAGTCCAGAAGAGGGAAGTGACAGAGACAATTATAGGCTCGATGTAGTCTAGTGAATAGTACATAGTTTCTGGAGTCATACAAAAAGGAATTCAAATCCTGACTCTGCCTCTTAGTTTCTCACAGGCCCTAGGTATGCTGCCTTACTGTTGTGAGCCTCTGTTTGTCACATATAAAATTGAGGTAACAGATCTATACTTCATGGAATTATAGAGTCAATGAGTCAAACATTTTTGAAAAGTTTAGGCAGGATGTGGTGGCTCATGCCTATAATCCGAGCACTTTGGGAGGCCGAGGCAGGTGGATCATGACGTTAGGAGTTCAAGACCAGCCTAACCAAGATGATGAAACCCCATCTCTATTAAAAATACAAAAATTAGCCAGGTGTGGTGGCACACATCTGTAATCCCAGCTACTTGGGAAGCTGAGGCACAGAACTGCTTGAACCCGGGAGGCGGAGGTTGCAGTGAGCCAAGATCATACCACTGTACTCTAGCCTGGGGAACATAATGAGATTCCGTCTCTAAAAAAAAAGAAAAGTTTAATATAATATTTGGCACAGAATAAGGCCAGGTAAAATGGAGGTGCCCACCCACACACAGAGACTTAATGTTCTCTTTCCTCCTGCCACAGGGCTGTCTGGGCCTGACTCATGGACAGGCAGATAGCCAAGCACCTGCTGTTTGCTCACCTGCTGTTTGCTCACCAATTCTGACTAGTTAGTTCAGTTGTTTGCCCAGGTTTAATGGGACCATGATCAGGAGGTACAGGAAGAAAGCTCAAAGTATATCTATGTCACATGCATGTCAGGATGCACAGAGTCTTCTGCTAGAAGGTGCAGCATTAGAATACAGGTAGAATTACAGATTATACCACATTCAGCATGATACTGGCCACGCTATTCTTTTGGACCTATATAGCAGATGCTCGATAAATGTCTGGCAAATTGACATGACTTGAATCTGGTTGAATTATCATAAGATCTGTCTAAATGGTCCATGTTTCAATAAGTGAACAGAGAAGGAAAATGACATCCCAGGTTAATACCTGATTTGAAGGATTGTTGAGGAATATCTACCTCTAGTCATGATGGAATAATGGGGACTCAATTTATTCTCCTTCCTTAAACAACTGAAGGCCAGATAAAATAACTGTTTTCGGACACTGGACAACAAGCAGCACAGGGCAGTAATCCTTGAGAAATGCAAGGGGAAAAATGTAGTCAGCCCTGCTACTGCCCCACCTCACTCCCTTGAGAGTTTCCAGGCCATGGGGTAGGGCAGAGAAACTTGAAAGAGTTTAGCAATCTCACGCAGTTGAAAAGACAGAGTTGGAAATTTGGAGAGGTCCAGGTGGCTGGAATTTGCAGGGCAAATTAATTGAAAAGGAGAGAGCTGCAAAGAACAAAACCACCAAACACCTGCAAATGGACCCCTTTGGGTTTGGGGCTGAGTACTGATCTATGCATGCCTGTGAGGAAACTAGGAAGGGTGGGGAAACAATGACCAGAAAGAAGTGGGTGCCACAACCCCAAGAACTCACTCAGAGACAGAAATCGTTCATGCTCTGATATGGTTTGGCTGTGTCCCCACCTAAATCTCAACTTGAATTGTATCTCCCAGAATTCTCACATGTTGTGGGGGGTACCCAGGGAGAAGTAATTCAATCATGGGGCCGGTCTTTCCCATGCTATTCTCGTGACAGTAAGTCTCACAAGATCTGCTGGGTTTATCAGGGGTTTCCACGTTTGTTTCTTTGTTTTATCTTGCTGCCTCCATGTAAGAAGTGCCTTTCACCTCCCACCATGATTCTGAGGACTCCCCAGCCATGTGGAACTCTAAGTCCAAATAAACCTCTTTTTCTTCCCAGTCTTGGATATATCTTCATCAGCAGCATGAAAACAGACTAATACATGCTCCCACCAGCAAAAGCAGAAAAATCTTCTAATACACAGGGCATTGGACAGAATCTTCAGAAGAGTTTTGCCTCCAAGTGGGACCAGCTTAGTTATCTTAGCTATTCCGGACTCACCCTAACAAAGTTTAAAAGTAAGCCATGAAAGGATCAAACCAATTCCAAGTAACTGACTGCCTCTGAGAATAAAGCCCAAAAGTATTTTTTAAAATACAAAAGGTTTCAGCACCCAGCAAGTAAAAACTATGATTGGCTTTCAATAAAAAATTAACAGGCATGCCAAGTAAAGCCCAGAAAGATATAAGCCAAAACTAGGAGAATAATCAAACAACAGAAACAAATCAAGAAATGACAGAGATGACAACTAGTAGACAAGGATGTTAAATCTCTAATATATATATATATATATTCCATGTGTTCAAGAGAGAAGGTGTGAGTATGATGAGAGAAAAGACTTAAAGAAGATTTGAAGTGGCTAGACACAGTAGCTTGTGTCTGTAACCCCAACACTCTGGGAGCCCAAGGTAGAAGGATCTCTTGATTCCAGGAGTTTGAGACTAGCCTGGGCAACATAGGGAGACCCCTTCCTCTCTATGGAAAAAAACAAAAACAAACAAACAAACAAAACACCTTTTTAATTAGCTGGGTGTGGTGGCATGCACCTGTAGTCCCAGCTATTCAGGAGGCTGAGGTGGGAAGACTGCTTGAGCTATGATCGCAGCAGTCTACTCCAGCCTGGGTGGCAGCGCAAAACCTTGTCTAGAAAAAATAAATAAATGAATAAAAATTCAAATGTTCAAATTGAACTTCAAGAGGGAAAAATACCAGTATCTGAAATAAAAAGTACACAGGATAGGAGTAACAGCAGATTAGACAATGCATAAGAAAAAAGTCAATCTAAAATATAGCAACAGAAATTATCCAACATTATATACTGAGAAAAAAGACAAAAAAAACCCCAGAACATCAGTGACTGTGGGACATATGAAGCAGCTTAATAGAGCAGGAATAATGAATGGGGAGAGGAAGCAAGGTGCAGAAAAAATACTGAGAAAAGAATGACTCAAATTTTCCAAATTTTATGAAAATTATATACAAACAGATACAAGAAGCTCATCAAACCCCAAGAAGAAGAAGAAATCCACAAAAAGAAAACACAAGGCACATCATAATCAAAATGTTAAAAAACAGTGATAAAGAGGAAATTCTAAAAGTAGCCATGGGGCGGGGAATTAGACACATGGCAGAGAAGCGAAGAATTACAGCAGATTCAGTGTCAGAAATAATGCAAGCCAGGAGGCAATGGAAGCCCCGTTCTATAACTAGTGCTTTCTGTGCACTGGAATAATATTTAGGAAGGCCTAGTGTTGAGAACAAAGTGGGAACTCTGTGACATTAAAAACATTTGCAAGTATTCTCTGAAGACTAAAAAAGGATAAAAACCCTTTCTTAGGCTCATATCTAAAAAGGGCATTTACCCAGTTTTATACCTATGTCCTCAGAACATTACAGACTGTAGTCCCACAGTCTTATGGCAATATCACTTAACACACTGGAAAAGAGACAGAAAAAGCTATCAGAGGATTCATCCCATAGCAGAATAAAACCAAGTTAGAAATAACAAATAAGGAATCAGTCTACCAATGTCAGGCTTGAGTTGGTCTCTCTTCCTTCAAGTTGGTTAATGTGTCTGACTGACCTCTACAGATTCAGACAAAAATTTATTTTTCACACCAGATGCAGTGGCTCATGCCTATAATCTCAGCGCTCTGGGAGGCTGAGTCAAAAGGATCACTCAAGCCCAGGAGTTTAACACCACCTGGGCAACAGAGCAAGAAACTGTCTCTACAAAAAAGGAAAAGAAAATCAGCCAGGTATGGTGGTGTGCACCTGTAGTCCTGACTACTTGGGAGGCTGATACAGGAGAATCACTTGAGCCAAGGAGTTCGAGGTTACAGTAAGCTATGATTGTGCCACTGCACACCAGCCTGGGGGACACAGTGAGATCTTGTCTCCAAATATATATATGTGTATGTATGTGTGTGTGTGTGTGTGTGTGTATACATATATATAATATGTACGTATATAATGTATAATATGTAAGTACATATATATTATGTATATGTTCATATATGTGTGTATATATACACACATATATATGGCCTTTTTGTCCAACCAGCATGTCCCCAAACCAACATTTTAATTCTCTTGTCTCCAACTCAGATTTACATTCCCTCAGAGAGGAGCTTGGGAATTATGACATCTGGTTTTTCACCCCAGCTCTGCCTCTGGCTGTGATTCTGGACATAACAAAACTTTTCTGGGCCCATTTCCTCCTCAGTAAAATAGAGAGATTGGAAAAGATTAAAAGTTCTTTCAGCTCTAAACTTCTATTTTAAATGCTAAGTTTGGCCTTATCTATTTCTAATGATCCAAAGAGAAAGGGCAAGGACCCAATCTTGCTATGAATATACACACACCCCCTCTGAAGGACTGTGGTGCTTATATCTTGGAAACCAAACTGGACCAAAGGAGCTCAGAGAAGCCAGGAGCTTAGATAAGAGGGGCCTACCTAAAAGGCTCTGTAGACACTGGCTTGAGAGGCCAGCCCAGGACCTCGGGTTTAAAATATGAAAGTCCTGAATAGCCCTGGTCTTGCCTTCCCTACGTCAATCTTTTAAATCAAGTATTAAAAGGTGGAAGGGGAGGGAAGCCTCACTCTTCAAAGTATGGTCCATTAAGGGCAGCACTGGCAGCACCTGGGAGCTTGTTAGAAATGAGTAATTTCAGCCTTCATTCCAGATCTACTGAATCCAAATCTGCATTTTAGTAAGGCTCCCCAGGTGATTCATATGCATGCTAAAGTTTGGGAAGTCCCGGTTGGAAATGCTGCCTTTCTAGTCCCTGCTTTGTCACCTCTTCATTTGATAAAGGTGGCTTTTAAGACTGTCCACAATTCTCACTCATCCTCTAATCCCATCTCCTTGCACAGTTTACACACACACACACACACTGTCTGTCTGTCTGTCTGTCTCTCTCTCTCTCTCTCTCTCTCTCTCTCTCCACCCCACCCCAGTTCAGAACCTTCAAACCCACACCAAGAGTTATGGGGGTAAGTTACTTCCTTTTTGCATCTTTCTTAGGTCCATACAAGGCCAGAAAGAGGCAAAGTTTGAAGCACAAACTAAGTATCAGTCCTTCCAAGAAAGTGATTCAGCCCATCCCTGCCATTCAAAGGTTCCCAGGAGGAGGGATGGAAAACAGGCTGGTGAACACAAAGGTACAAACTCTGGTGGAAAGAGATTCATCATTTACATCTGAACAGAAAACAAGGGTCCAAAGTTTCGTTTCTAAAATTTTTTGGTTTTTTTGTTTTTTGCTGCTGCTGTCTTATGTAACATAAAGATTCTTGGAAGCATGGCCAAAAGGGCAAAGCATATACACAGAGTTAATAAAAACACAGCAAGAGTTCTCCTAGCAGAGTGGTGGGGGGCAGCAGAATCAAGACCTAGCATAGCATAACAGAGCACTGGAAAAGAAGATAGGATGTCGGGAGAAGGGGGTTGGACTCTATCTTGCAGTCCGTATACTGGAGTCTATACTGCTGCTCACTCCACACTCCCTCCCCTGCACAGGTCACTCACCCCTCTCACCCCACCCACTGTCACAAGCAGCAGATGGCCCAGCCCCAGGCAGCTGGCAGAGGACAGCAATCTGCACGTGCTTGCCTACACCTCCCCCAAGGCTGGAGATGGGAAGGAGCAGGGCAAAGTCAACACCCATCCCTGGTGGAAGCAATTTTTGCAAGAGTGCCCTGGGGGTGGGAATGGCAACATCACCCAGTGCTTTGCCACAATGAGACACACATCAAAACAACTCAGCATTATCCAAGCTCTCCAGCACCCACACACAGCTCAGAAAGAGAGAGCCTTAAGCAGGGTAAGGGTAGAGAGGATCAGAGAACAGTTCCCAGAGTGCACTGGGGTATGCTGGCCCACGTTGGTGGGGGGGGGGTTATTCACTCCTTCAACATTTACTGTGTATATACCACATCCCAGGCACTGCACCAACAATGAAGGACACAGTGGTGATAGCAACCGTCTCTGCCCTCAAGAAGCTCAAGTAAAGTCAGGGAGAACAAGGAAACAGAGGTTAATACAGTGGAGTTAAGTGCTGACCACAGGATGTAATGGCAGCACCAAGGAGACACCCACACAAGTAAGGCGCTAGCGGCAGTCTAAGCTGACACATGGCTTTAGGAAGCATTAGCCAGGAAGAGCAGAAAGAGGTGGGGACAAGGAGTGTGGGTCATTCCAAGGAGAAGAAACATACATCAAAAAGTTGGGAGGCAAAAGAGAACCGGGAACTGCAAGCTGTTCTGTCCCAGCCTTTGTTAACTTTCGTCACCTACACCAGGGGCAGACTCCTGGGTTTGGCATGGATTCCTAACACATTACTGCCTAAAGGAACTTTGGGATCATCTTATAAAGTCCAATCTACCCATTTTAGGAGAGGAAAACAAAGGACTATCAAAGGATCATGACTTCTTGAGAGGGAATGGCAGAACCAGAACCCCATTCTCCTCTCACCAAAGTTTCCTTACAT